TGCTCATGTAAGCACAGGCACAAGCAGCTACACTGTTGTCAGATAATCAGAACCTGAAGCAAAAATACAAATATATTTGCTTTGACTCCTGCTGCAATTTCAGAATAGTTTTGAAGCCTGTCTGAAGGCTCCCTGGACTATCATGATCTAATTTATTACAATATGAGCCACTCTGTGAACAATGTTTAACAGGGAACTGCATCCAGCTGCACTGACGTCTGACTTGGAAAGCGCTCGGAGAGATGGCTCACACTAAGGACAGAACAAGCACTCGTGCCACCCCTGTTACCCTGCACACACCACCTGTTCTTCTCCCAGTTCTCCTCAGCAGAAAGCCCACTGCAGTGCAGTATACAGACCAGCTTTAGGCAAGGCCAACAGTACACCCGCTATCCTACAGGGACAGATTATCCAGCCAGACACACAGGACACTCCCCAGCTTGGTAACAAACCACAAACCCTTCCAGGCACAGCGGGATGTCCTTACCAGGGGTGTATCTGGCATCAGAATTTCCCCATCCTCCACCCAGACGAAGGGAATTATCCCAAGTGGACAAGGGTGGTTTCTGGCCTGTCAGCCCTGGAGGTGGGCGGGACGGAGCAGTGATGCTTTTAGGTGGCAAAGGGACCTTCCACAGCTCATGAGCCAGAGAGGTGTTAGTGACTGATCCAGGAGACCACGTTGATTTGGAATCACTGTTTCTGGCTACTAAAAGACACAAAAGACAACCACAATCACTGTGGTGCTGCAACTGCCACCCCGCTGCAAAGAAAAGCTGCTAAATTAGAGTAAAATCAAAATAGCTGCTTTGAAATCAGCTAAGTTACCACTCTGGTGAGACCTTGGCACTGCTTTTATTAACATCTGGGACCCCCCCGGGGCAAGTGAAGGGGAAGGAACCAGGTCAGAGCAATACAAGCAGACGTCACCTGAAGTGCTTTGTGCTGTACTGCTGAGGGAAACATTGTAGTTGGAGGCACGAATGGATGACCAGGCACTAGTTGAAGGCAGCGTGGTGTTCAAAGATGAGGATGACCCTGTAACAAAGGCAGAGTCAGTCACAGCACAGCATGTTACAAATGCAGTAAGACTGAAAGGCTTGGCTTGTGGTCCAGCCTGAACACACTGCACACTCAGGGGAGGGTCCTGCACTCCCCAGGCCCATCCTCCATCCACGGGCACACGGTGGCAGCAGGAGCACCCCACGCTCAGAGAGCACAGGCTCTACATTCCTGCATGGCCGGGCTGCCAAGGTTCGATTGCTGCTTCCAAACACTCGGGGTGTGCACAGCTGACATCAGGATGCAGAGCACAGCTCCTCTGCCCACATTCCCGGGATAGCTGCTGCACTGCATCAGCAAGCAAGCCGAGCCAAGGATGAGCTTGGCAGCTGTGACAGGCACAACATAAGAGATAAACCAGGAGGCGAGCAAGCAGCAAACAGATCCCAAATCCACAACACAAGGGACAGACCAGGAGAGGAGCAAGCAGGAAACATCTCCACGAGAGACTGAGGGAAGGTCACACAATGAATGGAGCAGAGCATACC